ACAGAAGAGAAGAAAAGAAAACCTACAATGAAGCAAAGAAAAACTGGGCAGTTCTGAAAACAATATGAAGTATTTATTATATAGGTTCTCTTGAAAAGGAAATTTATTGTTTTATATTGAATCCTTTCATGCTCTGCTTGTGTCGGTGGCAATATTCTTTTTTTCTTTTCTTGTTTTACATTTAAGTTTAAAACGAATAAAAAATTTACCCCCTTCCCCCCAAAAAAGAATAATGGGCAGTAAATGATGTGGAAAGTGATAGCTCCATCACTAGAACTAGCTTGGTGTTATCTCTAAGTGGAACCTGAGAATTCAAAAAATGGCAGGCAAAATTGTGCTCATTTAGACCACTAGCGGCCAGGGCTTCCTAAACTGTGGGTCAAGACTCCATATCGGGTATCGAAAAATTCGGCAACAGTAAAGGGTTTCTGAATGTGCAACAACCAAAACCTTATTAAAACATAACAGTGAAATTCCAATGAAAAAAAGAAAATATTGTTCTTCTGAAAATCAAAAATGGAGGTTCTTCTTCACATAAGCAATAACATAGATGACTCTGATCCCCACAAGCTCTCCAAAACAGAAATTATGAGCCAAAGACAACACAACTTCAGCTATCTCCACTATCTAGGACACCCAGAATACAAAAGAAGGTGCAAAAAAGATAAACAACCCAAAACCATGAACTGACACTCACTGACCCTTCAGCTCTTAGCCCCCTCCCCATGTCCCATGCTACACTACAGCAGGGAGGTTGCACTACCAGACCCAAGGACCAGATCCAGGCTTATAACAAAACCCACTCCTATGCCTCAGTCTTCCCTCCCATCTTAAAGCACCATGGCGATTCTGGCTCCAAGCTGCAGAAGGTTTACCAGAGCCATAGTAAGAAGGCACCCTACCAGAATATTTTATGAGGTAAATACAGTCCTAATACCTTAACCAGGGAAAAATGATAACATAGGAAAAATAACTAAAAGCCATCATTAGTGAACAATGACTCAAAAATGTTCAACAAAATCCTGCCAGATTACAGCAATTTATCCAAGAAATCATTCATTATGATTAAGTAGGGTTTATATCAGCATACAAGGATGGTTCAGCATTAGGAACACCATCAATATAATTAATCATATTAAAAATCAAAACATCCACTAATGCACTGTTGGTGGAGAGCAATTTGGAACTATACCCAAAAGGCTATAAAAATTTGCATACCCTTTCACCCAGCAATAGCACTTAGGGCTATATCCCAAAGAGATCATAAAAATGGGAAAAGGACCCGCATGTACAAAAATATTTATAGCAGCTCTTTCAGTGGTGGCAAAGAATTAGAAATTGAGAGGATGCCCATCAACTGGGGAGTGGCTGAACAAGCTGTGGTATATGAATGTAATGGAATATTATTGCTCTATAAGAAATGATGAGCAGGAAGACTTCAGAAAAACCTGTAAAGACTTGTATGGACTGATGCTGAGTGAAGTGAGCAGAACCAGGAGAACGTTGTGCACAGTAATAGCCACGTTGTGTGAGGACTAACTTTGACAGACTTAGCCCTTCTCAGCAGTGCAAGGATCTAAGACATCTCCAAAAGTCTCATGATGGAAAATGCTATCCACATCCAGAAAAAGAACTACGGAGTTTGAATGCAGATCAAAACATACTATTTGCTCTTTTTTTTCTTCTGTTTTGTTTCTTCTTTCTTGTAGTTCCTCCTATTGGTTCTAATTCTTCATTACAACATGACTAATGTGAAAATATGTTTAATAGGGATGTATATGTAGAGCCTATATCAGATTGCATGTTGTCTTGGGCAGGGAGGCAAGGAGGAAAGGGGAGAAAATTTAAATCTCAAAAGCTTATGGAAGTGAATGTTGAAAACTAAAATAAACTAATTAATTTTAAAAATTAAAAGCCACATTATCATCTCAATAGATGCATAAAAAGCCTCTGACAAACCACAAACCTCTTTTATACTAAAAACTCTTACAAAGGATAGGCACAGAACGACCTTTTATACTATCATAAAAAGCATCTATCTAAAACCAAAAAACAAGGGTCATATGCAAAAGGGATATACTAGAACCTTTTCCAATAAATATGACAGTGAAGCAAGGATGGTCACTTCTCCCCACTATTATTCGGTATGTTTGTGTTAATACTAACAATAGCAATAAGACAAGAGAAATAAATTAAAGGCATAAAAATACGTAAAGGGGAGATAAAACTATCCTTATTTGCTGATGATATGAAGGTTTACTTGGAAAAACTTGGGAAATCAGAAAAGATACAAATTGAGACAATGAATAGCCTCAGCAAAGTTGAAGGCTACAAAATAAATCCTCAAAAATCATTAACATTTCTATGTAATAATAACAAAACACAGGAAGCAATAATAAAAAGGGAAATCCCATTCCAAATAACTGCAACACACATAAAATATCTAGGGCTCAATCTACCAAACCAAAGACCTGTACAGAGTCAATTACAAAGAACTTGTTAAACAAATATTGGACAACTTAAACAGTTGAAGGAGCATTTAGTGCTTACAGGATGCCCTGCTAATGATAAAAATGACAATACTACCAAAATTAATTTACACTTTTAATGCTATGCCACTGAAACTACCAAGTGAATACTTCATAAAATTTGATGAAATAATTTTAAAAATGGGATTGGAAAAACAAAAGATCTCGAATATCAAGGGAAATGATGAACAGTCAGGACAAAGGGGCAATAATACTTCTGGACCTCAACTGTATTATAAAGCAGTAGTCATCAAAACTATTTGGTAGTGGTTAAAAAACACATTAATGAAACAGACTGGACAAGGGAGAATCAGAAACAGAAAAACTTAATAATCTATAGTTGATAAAGTGGAAATCATAAATTACCTAGAAAAAAACTCTTAATGGGATTAAAACTGCTAAAAAAATTGAAAAGCAGTGTGGCAGAAATTAGGTTTACATCTTACACCTTATTCCACAATACACTGTAAATGACCTTGATGTTAAAGATCATTTCTTCCCAAGAAATTGGAAGAAAATAGATGATATACCTGTTACAACAATGGGTAAGAGATGTATTTTTTTTTTAAACCAGAAAAAACTTTTTATTAACGGCCTACCAAGGCCGAGTGTCCCATGTGTGGGCACAAGAGATGTACTTAATCAACCAAGACATGGAGACAATTACAAAAGATAAAATAGATAACTTCAATTACTTGAAACTGAAAAGCTTCTGTACAGACAATATTAATGCATCTAGGATAAAAAAGGAAGTGGTTGAATGAGAAAAAAATCTTCTTATAAAATTTCTCTGATAAGGGTTTGGTATCCAAGATTTAGAAACAATTAATACATACGTATAAGACAAACAGCCATTCCCCAATAGATAAGTGGTCAAAGGATATGAACATCAGTTCTCAAAAGAAGTGCAAAGCATTCACAACCACATGAATGAATGCTCCAAATCACTAATAAGAGAGTCAAAGTAACCCTGATGGTTTCACCTCATAACCAGCAAACTGGAAAAACACACCAGTAAGTCAGTATTGAAAAGGATGTGGAAGGACAGGAAAACTAAAACATTATTGGTAGAGCTATGAAATATGACCATTTTAGAAAGCAATTTGGAATTATGCAAATAAACGAACTAAAATGTCCACACCCTTTGAACCCGAAACTCCACCACTGAGTTTATACCCCAAGGAAGCCATCAATCAGAAAAAAATACTCCAAAATATTTTATAGCAACACTTTTCATGATAGCTAAGAACTGGAAACAATGTAGATGTCCATTTATTGGGAAATGGCTAGAACAAATTGTGTTAAATGAATGTAATGGAATATTATTCTGCTGTAAGAAATTGTGCATGTGATGAACAGAGAGTTATGGAAAGATCTTCATGAACTGGTAGAGTGAAGTAATTAGAGCCAAGAAAACATACACAGCAACTACAACAATGTAAATGAAAATAATTATACACCAAAAAATCAAAAGTAAATGCAACAAAATTAGATCAAGCATAACTCAAATGAAGGAATATGAGAAGACAACCTCAATTCACCCCTTCGTGGAGGTGAGAGGTCTACAGGTGTATAAAATGCACATGTTTTTTGGACTTTTTCACTGCAGTAATCAACTGTGCTGATTTTTTTTCCCCCTCTCTAAAAGTATCTGTTACATCGGATGGCTCTCTGGGAGAGGAAGGAGGGATACTTAGGATAAATATGATGATAAAAGAAACAGAAGGTATCAATAAAAATTCATTTTTTAAAAAATTAAATTGATTACAGAAAAACCATAGCTTTATGAACAACTTCTCAAGCATATATTAGCAGTTAGAATATAAGCTCCCTGAGAGTAGGTATTTTGTCCTTTGTATCTCACTGTAGCACAATGCCTGACACATAGTAGGCACTTCATAAGTGCTTTATTATTGATTGAAATAAATGTTAAATGCATCTATACTTTATTTAATTAAAATTAATACAGATTTTGCAGCCTGAGTTTCAAAAAAAACAAAGGAACTATCAGAAAAGATTCTAATTTTAAATAGCAATTATTTTCTAAAGCAAAGGTTAAAAGACTTGGCAGCAAGTATCTTTACTTTCACAGAAGTTTACCACCAGAAGAAAAAGTATGTGAATTTATAATTGTTCTATGATTTCATTTCATTAAAAAAAAAAGCAGTTCTGGTTAGAAACTATTCTAAAAAAAAGTGATAAAAGAGATGGAGAGGGCCAATATACTCAATGACAACTTAATTCAAAGAATAAGTTCTTATTTAAATTATCCAAATCCTATCGAACAGAACTAACAAATATATGAGTTCATGAATTTGCTACTTATTCTTCTCTTAAAATTTGGCTTGAGGCCCACTGAAGCTGTTAATTGCTACGCCCAAGGTCAAACAGCCTTAAAAGCTACAAATACACATACAACCATTATTGTAAGGAGAGATGCCTAAATATGAGATAACATATTGAAAAATATACCTTTGTAAAAGTGACAGGAATACTAGCATCCAGTTGAATATGGTCTGCAAGTTCAGTAAATTGCTGCTGCTGTTTCTGTAATGTTTCGAGTAACCTGGTAATCTCCTGTTTTGCCAAGACCACTCTGCAGTCATCCTAGATAGGAAAAGAGGAAAATCTTTTATGTTCCACAGAATATTTTTTATAAAGGGTAATTTGGTTTGAAAGATGAGATTGAACTGGCAGGCAGCTTATTTTTTTAAAATTTAAAATTAATGCCTTTTGCTTTCAAGTAATAAACCTTTCTAGAAATATTCATTTTAATGGTTTCAGATAACGGTAACAAAAAGCACAGACAGCATAATGCTGGGAAGAGTTGGATTTAAATCCTGGTTCTGATCTTTACTACCTATGCTACCATAACCAAATTATTTATCTCTCTGAGCTTGCTTCCCTTTCTGTAAAGTAAGGCCAATAATATTTGTGCTACTCTCCTCACAGGGTTGTTATGAAGAAAGGGCTCTGTAAATTTTAAAGTTAACAATAAAAAGTTAAACTATAAACTATATAAAGTTAACTATAAAAGCATACTTAATATTTACATACAAATATTATTACATATTATTTACATATGAAGATAACGAGATAAACTCTTCCTCGTCCCTGCCTCCCCCCACCCCCTCGCCCCCCATCCCAGAAGTAGGACATTGTTTCAGGTTGTATTTCTAGTCATATCTGTGTTGATCCAACAAAACGGTAGCCCAGAGATCCAAACAGAGCTAACGGGGTGGGCAGTCCCAAAGCTGATCATGGACTCAGCCCTGCGCCCAAGCCAACAGTCTGGAAGTCTCCCAGAGGGACTGGGAACCTGGCATCTCAGAGCAATAGAGCTGAAGGGAAGACAGCTTTGCAGTGCAGGGATACAGAGCAATTTTGGACTCATCTCCAGTCCAGGTTAGGAATTAGGGGCCTAGAGCATGAAATCTACCCAAACATAGATTGCCCAAAAGATCAGTTAAAAGTCTCAGAACAAATGATATGAGAGTAGTTTCTAAAGTTTAAAACATTACAGATGAAATGAAAAATAGAGGAAAGAATTGGAAAACAAATGAAAGCCATGGAAGAGAGACTTTGAAAGAGAACAGCCTATCATAAAAACTTAGTAAGAGATTGTCTGAAAATTAGGATGGGACAGATAGAAGTTAATGACTCCATGAGACAATAAAAAATATAACAAAATCAAAAGATCAAAAAAATAGAAGAAAATATAAGGTGCCTCTAATATAAAAAACTGACCTAAAAAAACAAATCAAGAGATGACCAAAAAACCCCCAAAACCTGGATTTAATATTTCACAAAATTGAAAGAAAATCACCTAGATCTCTTAGAACAAGAAGGTAATGTGAAAATAGAAAGAATCCACCAGACACCTCCTGAAAGAAACCTCAAAAGAAAGCTTTCAGGAACATCACAGTCAAAATCTAGAATTTCCAGATTAAAAGGGAAAAAAATACTACCAGCTTCCATAAAGAGTTTAAGTACCAAGAAACCACAGTTAGGATCAAACAAAGTTTAGCATACCACTATAAAATAATAGAGAGCATGAAATTTTATATTCCAAAAAACAGAAAGATATAGGCTTACAACCAAGAAACCAACAAAACTGAGTATAATTCTATGACAGAAAAGAGTGGAACTTTAATAAAATGGAGGATTTCCAAGCATTCTTGATGAAAGATTGGAGCTAGATAGAAATGTTGAAACACAAAGGAGTCAAGAGAAACCAAAAATGTAGCTACAAATGAACCAGCAGAAAAATCTTCATGTTTAACGATGTAGTTAGTATTTGCATTCTATGGGGATGGGGACACAAAAAAGGAGAAGCTACATGAGGAATTTCTACAAAAAACATCAGACAGAAGCAAAATATTCAACTTGGAAACACCAGAAACAAAACAAATATACAAAAGTTAATAAGGATAATTACAAAGGAAAGACTAAGTAGTAAAATAAATTACCTTGCGAGAGGTATTTTTTTAAAAGAAAGAAAAAGAGTAATCTGCAGGCGTTTCAAACAAACGTAGGAAGACTTGTATGAAATCATACAATACAGAATGAAGAAACTGTAAAACAATTTAAAAATTAATGATAATGTAAAGAACTCTGATCAATGCAACGACCACCCATGATTCCAGAAAACTTGTGATGAATCACTCTATACACATCCTGACAAAGGGTGATGAATTCAAAGTGCAGAATGAGGTATATACATCTTCAGAAATGGCTGCTGCGTGGAGATTCATTTTGTTTGGTCGTGGATATCTGATAAAAGGATTTTATTTTTCTTTTTTTCCAAACTGGGAGAAGAGGTTGGGGGAAGCAAGCAATGGAGTCTCCAAAATAAAGAAGATAAAAAGGAAAGTTTCATGTTAAATTCACTATTAATTAAAACCAGAAGTTAAGCTACACAAAATAGAAATTTAGTTTAATATTCAACCTTATTTTCCTGTCTACTCTGTATATGGAAATGTTCATTTTTTTGTGTTTAAGACTTTTTTTTAAGTAAAAGGTCGTGACCTATAGAGTATTTTAACAAGTGAGATCAGAAGCAATAAAAAAGCACAAAAGGAGATACAACTGTAAACAGAATGTAAAGGAAGAGAACTGAAGCTTCTGCCCTTCTAGGGGCACCGTGAGATTTACAAATCTCCCACCAGCCCCTAAGAGGTTTATCAACGTATTTTGTGGCACAAAACTTCAGAATAGGAAGATATACAAATGGAGAGAGGAGAGAAATAAAGAAATAAAAAAGAATAGATGACCTACCATCATTATGTCCATGGATGAACACTGAAAGGATGATGGCTCTTATGGGAAAGTTGGAGAAGAGAGAAACTGAGACTGGGGGAATGAAAAGGAAGGGCTCAACCCAATGGTGGGAAAGGGAAGGGAAGAGAAGTCCACTGAAGAGCAATGCAACGGTGAAAGAGGAGGATACTTACAATGGAAGATGCGGACCTCGTGGTGGGTTAAATTTAGGGGGTGGAATCAGTACACTGGGAGTCAATCTTCTCTGAGAGGGTGCTGTGCCTCCCTGGACTACCTCATGCTCCAAGAGAAGAGACATGCCAGCTCCTAGGGGAAACTGTCACCCAGAAAAGAGGAGGGGGATGATGATGGACAATAGGTACAGAGATAAGCTATCAGGGCCAATGGAAAGATAATTACTACAGGGAGAGGAAGGAGTGTAGGGGTAGAAGTGCACAATTTGGGACATAAGGTAATTTATACCATGGTGAAGTGCTTTTACCTACATTACTTCCCTCACAAATGAACACTTCTAAGAATGAGGTACAACAACAAAAAAAGGAAGAGATCATACGGAAATCTTAGAAAATCAATAACAGGAGATGCTTAAAAGAGAAGGACCTTAAATCTGTTACTTCAGAAGTGTTAAAAAAACCCCAACAACATTAGGAACACAAAAAGATTAAATAATCAGAGAGGAAAAATTCAAAATAGCTAATATTTATATGGCACTTACTATATGCTAGGTACTGTGCTAAGCACTATGACAACTATTATCACATTTGATACACACATTTCTGGTGGGTGGTTGCTATTATCTGCATTTTACAGATGAGGAAACTAAGGCAAACAGATTAAATGACTTTCCCAGGACTACAAAGCTAAAGAGTGTCTGAGACTGGATTTGAACTCAGGTCTTCCAGACTTCAGGCCTAGCACTAGCAGCCTTAATAGACAGGAAGGTAAAGGAATTAGTAAAGAGAACATAAAACAAACCTTTTTTCAGAAACATGCACAAAAAAAAGAAAACTAATAAACATAAGAAACTGAAGGGGAAGTGAGGAAGTGGATTCTGAACTAATGGCTTAATTTGAAGAGGAAAAAACAGATAATTACATAAATAAAAGAAAAACGTAAAACCTCAAAATTAGAGAAAGGATTTTTATCTTTTCTACTATATAAGTTTTAAGGTAATTTTCTGAAAGCAGAGTCATCAACTGTGGAACAGCTAAACAAGCTGTGGCACAGGAATAAAACAGAATATTACTAGGTTTAAGAAATTATTAAAATGATGACTATAAAGAAGCAAGTTAAGAAATATTAACTAATGCAAAGTGAAGTAAGCAGGGAGACAATATATACAATGACTACAACAATGAAAAGGAAAAGATCAGCAACAAGACAACTGAAAGTACATGCTGAGAAATCGTAATCACCAGGACCAGCCTCAAAAAAGAGATATGAGAAGACACCTTTCCCAGTTTCTGTGCAAAAGATGAGGTGACTAGGAGTGTGGAATATTTGCATCAAATATTCCTGATATGTTTTTGAAATACTGGTTTCATTAAACATTTTTCCTTCCTCTTAGTATCTTTATAACAAGGGATGACTTAATGGAACAGGGTAGAGGAAGAAATGTATGTGATATAAAAATAAGCTATTAAGAAAGTTTAATTTTTAAGAAGATTATAGACTGACGACTATATTTAAACTACATACCTGTTGCAAAGTCTTTTCACAGTGGAGACAGGCTGTTGAAACCTGCGACAACAATATAGTCATGTCCTCTTGCTGCTGTCTCAGCCAAATCAGTTTCTCTCGAACATGCGCATCAACAACACTCAGTGCCATTTCTTCCTGACGACACAGAGTTTCATGTAAATCAGAAAAATAGGCTCGGACACAGGATCGAGCGTTTTCTGCAGTACCAGGTACCTATGTAGGAAATTAGATTTTTGTGGTGGTGTGCTGCTACTGGTTTGGTGTTTTTTTTTTTTAAATAATTTTTGCTTTTAAGACTTTTTTTAAAAGGTGAAATTTTACACACTACAGGATCTTATTTTTAGCCAGTCCCCATTTACCTTAGCCCAATTAACATGGCTTACATGTTACATTGTAACACTGTAATTTTCACTTCTACTACAGTCACCCTCAATCCAAAGATACCATTTATCACCTCTTCCAAGTTAAAGGAGGAGGCGGAATCTTACATGTTCTGTGTGGGCCATTCCAATTCCATCTTCCACAATTTGCTCTCCCCCTTCTATGTGCTGAACAATTCCAACTAATTTTCTGGAATAATCTGAGATTTCTTCAGTAAAAGTTCGTATGCAGTGAGCCATGTCTAAAATTGATGCTCGGATCTGGTTTGCTTCTGGTTCCAATACTGAATGCTATAAAAAGCAAAATGAAATTTGTGCTGAAAAGACCAAAAATATGATTTAATTACATAAAAAATTTTTACATATCATGATCTATATTGAAAAGGACCACAAAAACCCCCCATGATTTTAATAATGGAAGTGAACAAAAAGAATGAGGAAAGATATAACAAAAGTTCACATATTTACAGAATCTCAGAGTTGAAAGGGTATCCACAGGTCATCTTGTCTAAACTCTCCCTACCTCAACAAGAATTCCCCCCAAAGTGGTCATGCATTCTATGTTTAATGTTTCTCAAGAGTGCAACCTCCCCAAATAAACTGGTTCCACTTTTGGATGTCTATAATTCTATCTAGCAAATCTATAGATTTTTCTTATATCCAACCAGTATTTTCCCTCTTTGTAGCCTTTCTCTTAGATCTGCAATGCAGAGATCAACAGAATCAATATGGTAACAGGAGATCAACAGAATCAATCTGACAACTAAATCCTTTCAAAACTTGAAGATCCTATAATTGCCTCCCTAAATTTTCCTTCTCAAGACTATTCATACCCCACACCTTCAGCCAATTATCATGTAGCATAAACTCAAGGTCTTTTTGTAACGTGATTTTTTTTTAAAGGTACAGTTTTTATTTTTTATTCTTAGCTTTTTGGTGAGGCAATCAGGGTTAAGTGACTTGCCCAGGGTCACACAGCTAGTAAGTGTCAAGTGTCTGAGGCCGCATTTGAACTCAGGTCCTTGTGACTGCAAAGCCAGAGCTCTATCCACTGTGCCCCACACTCAAGGTCTTTTACCATCCTAGTTACCTTCCTAGGGAAGCTCTCAAGTTGCTTAACGTCATTTCTACAATGTGGTACATAGAACTGAACACAAAACTACAGATGTGGTCTGACCAGGTCAGATGTGGTCTGACCAGGTCAAAGTATAATGTCACTGCATCATTAATGTCACATAGTCCTGAACATTATGCCTCTTTTAACACAAACTAAAATTACACTAGCTTTATCTGAATAACTTATAAATGTGTTCAACACCAAAAGCCAAGCCCAGATCCCTGAGGCATCTGTCTGAGACCTACTTCTAAGATGACCATTTTCTGAGCCAGGCTATTCACCTACCTTTAAATGCAAAAATCTCCTCACCTCTTCTACAAGAATAAAATGAGATTTATTAATTTCTTTAATTAGATCTAGATAAAACTATATCTATAGCATTTTCCTAATTATCAAAAAAGGACATCAGGATATTGTTATGACTTGTTTTTGGTGAAGCTGTGCTAACCTTTTATAAGCACTAGTTCTTTTTTCTAGCTGTTCATTAACCATCCCTTTATTACGTTCTAGAATTTTTCCAGGCATCAAAAACAAGCTTACTGCTATACAAATTGGTCCTCTAAGTATATCTCTCTTCCTTTCACAGTAAGATTTTCTAGAGAAAACAACATAACAGCTCTATGATTTTCTTCTACTCAATTCACTTTACCATATAGGAACGAAATCTTTACTAGACAAAGGAAGGACTGAGACAGACATGATAGGATGAAGAATATTCCTAATACATCTTTACTATGAGAAACAGGCAGCTAGGTGGCACAGTAGATATAGTGGTAGGACTAGAATCAGGAAGACTACATCTTCCTGAGTTCAAATACAGCTTCAGACACTTACTAGCTGTGTGACCCTGGGCAAGTCACTTAACTCTGTTTGCCTGAATTTCTCATCTGTAAAATGTGCTGGAGAAGAAAATGGCAAACCACTCCAGTACTTTTACCAAGAAAACCCCAAATGAGGTCATGAAGACTTAAACACAGATGAAAGACAACTGACTGAACAACATGACAGATTGCGGGATGGGTACCATTAACATCTATGTATTTTATAGATTATAAAAAATACATATAACTCAAAAGGACATGCAAGGGACAACGTGGTTCTTTCTAGGAGTTCACTCAATCTATGGGAGGGTTAGGAAGTGGGGAGGTAGCATAGATAATAATGACCCAGCAAAAGTAACTAAAAAGGAACAGACAAGGAGAATCAGAAGAGAACAGTGTCACAAAAACCTAGAGGAAATAGAATGTCCAAGAGGAGAGAGGAGTCAACTGTGTCAAATGTTGCAAATTGAGGCCCAGATCCAAGAACGCTGAGAAGGCTGAGGACTAAGAAAAGACCAACAAATTTGGACAGAATGGTTTCAGTTAAGTGATAAGACAAGGAAGCCAGATTGTAAGGAGATGAGCAGTGAGAGGAGAGGAACTGAAGGCAAAGAGCACAGATAGCTTTTTCTAGTTATTTGTCTGACAAAGGGAAGAGATACACACAAAGATTCATACAGAGCGATGAATGGGGAAAAAAACAAGTTCTCCACGCAAAGTAGCTATCACATTAATTCTCATTTTAAAAAAATAAGCAATAATACCCATCTTGGTGTTAAATTTCCCCAAAATCATTATTATACATTTTAATTATGTATTTTTTATTTTTTAATTATGTATTTTTAATAAATTTACATTGCTATTCTCAAAGAAAGAACTGTGAGAGAGACTGGGTACCAAAATTAAATGCACCTAACTTTATAAGACTGTTGGTAGCATGCACAAAAGATAGTACATGTCCATGGAAGAAAACTGAATAACAGCATGATGCTTTGGCAGAAATACTGCCCTCAAAATCTCATTTATTACATATACAACCATAAAATAACAGGAGGAAGGGAGGGTACTCTATGATGGAGGTCTGATCATTTCTTCTTCAAACAAGGAAAATGAAGCTTTTCTAAAATTTTTGTTGGGAAGCTGAGAAATTAAACTTCAACAATGACTTATCTTTACATTTGTTTTGTAACAGAATACTATTACTGCCAACCAGCTGACCATTTCAATATTTCTCTTCCCTATTCCCTCTATGGGCTGAAGGATAGGCAACTAACTGGCCAGCTGATCTTTTTTAATTTACAAAGCTACAGTAATGATAATGAAGAAAATAAATACCTTATGACCCTGGTGTTTTCCATATTCCTTGCAGACACAGCACATAAGAGGGCTGGCCTGACAAGCTTCTTCTAAACAAACAAACTCTATGGCATGCACCTGGTGCTGGGAGCACATGGTCTTCTCATGAGGCTTATCTGCCAGAGGCACACGCCTGTGCTTTGCAAGGGTCTTTGTAGAATGGGTAAGCTGGGAACACTCCGAACACAAGTGAGTAGCGCAAACAGTGCAATACATTGATGCAACATGGGCTTCATCTTCATCACAGCGTATGATGCTCTGAAAACAAAATTATGGCATTAATACATTAAAAGTGGATTCTAGTCACTAAAAACTGTATAAAATAGCACAAAATACAATGTGGCTTTTTTGGTGTAGTTTATATTGGTTTGGCTCATTCTGTAAGCTAAATAACATTCTTTTTTTCTCTGACATTAAAAAATAGCTGCACTTATATAGTGCTTTAAAGTTGGGAAAACGCTTTGTATACATTATTTTATTTGATCCTTAAAACAAATGTATGAGGCAGGGGTTGTTATAATCCCCGCTTCAGAGATGAGGAATCTGAGGACAAGAGAGCTGAAGCATCTCGTTCAAGGTTACACAACCACAAAGTGTCTGAAACAGGTCTTCCTGCCTCCTGGTCCAACATTCTATCCACTATACCACCTACCTGCCCTAAAGTTTCCTGACACAAAATTTCCACAAATATGTTGTTGATTATTTTTTTCCAAGGTAGAATTTTAAAAGTACCATAAGCAAGGTGAAAAATTATAACCTTTTAAAAAGAATTTATTTAATTGATGTAACAGACTCACAATGTACTTCAAACATTATTCTGTCATGGAGATAGGCAGATAAGGTAGAAAGAAACTGAAAGTCAATATTTTGACAAAGCAATAATGAACTTAAGACAATCTGGAATTATGCAAAATAAGTCACCAAATTACTCATACTCTTTGATCCTGGCATCCTAAAATTCTAAAACAGAAAGGCTCTACATATATACCAAAATATTTGCTGTGATGCTTTTTATGTTAGGAAAAAACTGAAAGAAAATAAAGGCTGCCCATAGATTGACCAAAAGCTGTAAAGTATGATACGTGCAACATTATTATGATATAAGAAACTGTGACTATGAGAAATGTGAATTAATGCAAAGTGAAGAAAGCTCAGAGAATATATATAATGATTATAGTAAAGTAAACTAAAACTTAATTGACATAAAATGCAATGGCTAATCTTGACTATGAAGAAAACAAAATATTTTATTCTCTGAAGAATAGATGGGATGGAAAGGAAAGATGCAGAGCAAAAAAAACAAAAACAAAACCAACAACAACAACAAAAACCAACAACCACCACCACCAAACAGTTTGTGTTCCATCAGTCTATTTTGCTTTACTATCTGGGCTAATTCTACGGGTAGGAGGTAGGGAACTAAGGGGGAGCCAGGGGGAATAACAGGAAATGACTAATGTGAAAAACATAAGACAGCAATAAAACTTATGCCTCCTGCTTCCTTCAAGCCCAGATAAAATCCCACCTTCTACAGGAAGTCTTTGCCTTCCCAAACCCCTCTCAATTCTAATGCCTTCCCTCTGCTGATTATTTTCCTATAAATCTTGTCTATAGCTTATCCGTACATAGTTGTTTGCATGCTGTGTCTCCAATTGCAGGGTGTTCCTTTCTTTGTATCCCCAGCATTTACGAAGTGCCTAGACACAGTAAGAATGACATCCTGAGCTGGAAGAGGCCTAAGAAGTCACTGATTTCAAACCCCTCATTTTATCAATGAGGAACTGAGGCCCAAATGGGTTATGTAAACTGCCCAAGGCCACAGATGTCACAAATGGCAGAGTCAGGATGTGAAACTGTCCTCTGACTCGAGATCCAGGAGCTTCTGAGGCTGAATTCTACCAGGAGGCTGGGCTAGGCTGTCACTGCCCTCTCTGGAACCACAGGGCCCTCAATGGCCACACTAGATCATTTGAGTCCCTCTTCTCTTGAGGCAACTTCCTCAAGTCAGTTCCTGGGCCACTCCCTCTAACTCTTTCTGTACACTGTGCCAACCAAGATCCTGCTCTTTCACTGTAACTTAGAACAGAAAGTTGCTCCCAAAATTATGTAATTGTGATATTATTATGGGACATTATGGGAAATATACAGTTATCCTTTCCACATCACAAACTTACCCATCAAAGTTTCAATATATTGTGGGTTGGCATAAGAAATTAAATGGGAATTCTGGGGGAATTTTGTGGAAGCCGCAGATGACACACAAAGGCCAGCAGACAACAGAAAAAGTTTAGAAACTCAGAAATGCATAAAATATATGTATAATATCAACATATTTTATCTTTTAATACCACAGTAATTCAGAATTCTTCTCTGATATGATGAGAAGGCCCAAAAAGTTTAACACAGATTTTCCAGATCACCAGGATGTTGCAACCCTAACCCCAGTGATATGAAAGGGATAACTGCACTCTGTCTGAGAAAGGTACCCAAATGAAAGTGAAATGTGAATCAAGCAGGTTCTTCCAATCTAGCATGAGCTGAGGCAACACAGAGGCTAGGAGGAGTTCTAGACTTAGATTCATGGAAACCAGTCCGAATGCTGCCCCAGACACTTATTAGATTTGTCACCTTGCAAGTCACCAAACTTCTCTTAACATCATGAGTTTCCTCATCTGTAAAATGAACTTAACAAAGGAACCTATCTGACAAAGGTAGTGTGAAAATCAATAGATACATGTAAGCATCTGCAAACCTTAATGCACTACATGTTACCTATTATCATTTTTATAATCACAGCATCTCCTATCTAACAGTCAGCTAAGCTGAGTACAGAAAGGCTTATTACTATGAGTAAGCTGACCATTAAAACACTGGCTGATTCTTTGGCTGTGGTACTCCGTTAAGTAGACAAATACAAAATTGAGCCCTGTTTTGTGTGGCCCCTTCCTGCTTTCCACAAAGAGTTCCAAGGATTATGCAGGGTTTCTTTCTTTCTTCTTTTTTTTTTAAGGCAGTTGAGGTTAAGTGACTTGCCCAGGGTCACACAGCTAGTAAATGTCAAGTGTTTGGTCACATTTGAACTCAGGTCCTCCTGATTTCAGGGCCGGTGCTCTATCCACTGTGCCACCTAGCTTCCCCTACAGGGTTTCTTTCTAAAACATTCATTTTAACTGGTAGTACGCAAAAAGTAAGACCACTGTCCAACAGTAAATAGGTTAATATACTACTGGGGTATTGAATCATGCCAATACTTGCATTCTTGCTATAAATAAAGCCAGTAAACACATATAAAATATAGCTAAATTAAAGGGCAGCACACAGGCTCACCTTGAAGGAGTATATAAAGAACCTAGTGGCAATGGTTTCATTATAAGTCAAAAGGCAATTAATATGTCAAGGAACACAAAAGCCATTTGCCTTTTTTACAACTGAATTTTAAAAATCAAACTGACAAAATGGGAAAGGCAGGCTTAGAAGTTAGTTTGTCTGAAAAAAGATCTAGGGTTCTGGTAACTGCGAGTTCAATATGAATCAAAATTATGGTATGGCAACCAAAATAGCTGCAACACACTGAGAGATAGAATGTTCTGGAATAAGGAAGTGACTGCTCTGCTGCATTAATAAAACCACAACCAGAGTTTTATATTCAGCTCTGGTGCCCTATTTTAAGGAGAAAACTAACAAAATGGAAGGCCTCCAGAACAGGCCAACCAGTATAGTCTATAGAGCCTAGAATTAATACAATATGAAGATCTGTTGAAGAAATGAGGGATGGTTAGCCTGAAGAAGATAAGACTCAACATGATTTAGATATAAAGACTGATACTGTAAGCAAACTAGGAGAGCAAGGAATAGTTTACCTATCAGATCTATGGAGAAGGGAAGAATTTATGACCAAACAAGAGATAGAGAACACAATGAAATGCAAAATGGATGACTCTAATTACATTAAATTGAAAAGTTTTTGCACAAAGCCAATGCAACCAAGATTAGAAGGGAAGCAGAAAGCTAGGAAACAATTTTTATAGCCAGTGTCTCTGATAAAGGCCCCATTTCTAAAATACACAGAGAACTTTGTTGAATTTTTAAGAATATAAGTCATTTTCCAATTGATAAATGGTCAAAGAATATGAACAGGCAGTTTTCAGATGAAGAAATTAAAGCTATCTATAATCACATGAAAAAAATGCTCTAAATCACTATTGATTAGAGAAATCAAATCAACTCTGAGGTACCACATCACACCTATCAGGTTGGCTAATATGACAAAACAGGAAAATGACAGATGTTGGAGATGTGGGAAAATTAGAACACCAATGCATTGTTGGTGGAGTTGTGAACTGATCCAGCCATTCTGGAAAGCAATTTGGAACTATGCCCAAAGAGCTATAAAAATGTGCATACCCTTTGACCCAGCAATACCACTTCTAGGTCTGTATCACAAAGGGAAAAGGACCCACATGTAGCAGCTATTTGTACATTGACAAGGAATTGGAAATTGAGGGGATGCCCATCAACTGGGGAATGGCTGAACAAGTTGTGGTACATGAATATAATGGAATACTACTGTGCTATAAGAAATGATGAACAGGTAAACTTCAGAAAAACCTGGAAAGACTTCTATGAACTGATGCCGAGTGAAATGAGCAGAACCAGGAGAAGATTTGTACACAGTAACCGCCACATTGAGGGTGACTGACTTTGATAGACTTAGCTCCTCCAAGCAACGCAAGGATCTAAGACAACTCCAAAAGACTCATGATGGAAAATGCTATCCACATCCAGAAAAAAGAACCATGGAGTCTGAATGCAGATGGAAGCATACTATTTGCTCTCCTTTTCTTTTGTTGTTTTATTTCTTCCTTCTCATGGGTCCTCCTGTTAACTCTAATTCTTCTAATGCATCATGACTAATATGAAAATATGCTTAATATGAATGTATAAATAGAGCCTATATCAGATTACATGCCATTTTGGGACGGGGGGAGGAGAGTGAGGGAGAGAAAATTTAAAACTTAAAATCTCATGGAAGTGAATAGTGAAAACTAAAAACAAATAATTAAAAAAAAAAAAAGAGAAGATCCAACCAGAGACACAATTGCCATCTTTATGCATCTGAAGGGCTATGATATGGAAGATTTGTTCTCTGTCATCTCAGAAGGCAGAAAGAAGAATAAAATGTATAATGTGCAGAGGTAAATTTAAGATTGATATAAAGAAAATGCTAAATGATTATAGCTATATTAAAGTAGAATAGG